GGATATATAGTTTATAGTGATGCCTCCTATCTGGGATTGGATTGTGTCTGATGTAGCATGAGAATGTCATAGCGTATGGGTTCATGCAGTTAAAGAATCATGCAAAAAACTACTCCACCCATAACTTGGAACTTACCACGATCATCCACGCCTTGAAAACTGGGCGTCATTACTTGTATGGGGAGACCCTTCATATCTATACCGACCATAAGAGCTTGAAACACATATTCACTAAAAATAATCTCAATATGTGTAAGAGAAAATGGATAGAACTTCTCAATGACTATGATTGCAACATCTTGTATCACCCAGGCAAGGGCAACGTGGTAGCCGACGCACTTAGCAGAAAAAATATAGGTATATTAGCTCACCTAATAATTTTAGAATGCATGGCAATAGGAGTCGCACAACAGATACGACATCATAACCTAAAGAGAGTCACATGCTTGGTCCATTTGACTGTTCAACCTGAGTTGATCCAGGGAATAAATGAAGCTCAATCCATTGATTTCATCCTAGCAGCCCTCAAGAAAGATGCAGAACATAGAGCTAATTCAGAATTTTGAGTCTTTGCCGATGGGTTGCTTAGATTTCAGGATAGAGTGTGTATTTCATGTAATAGTGAACTGAAAAGAGACATCATGACTGAGGTTCATAGCTCAAAGTTTGTTATGCATCCCAAAAACACTAAGATGTATCAAAATATGTGACCCTGATTTTGGTGGAACATGATGAAAAGGTATGTGGCCGACTTTGTTTCCAAATATTTAGTATGTCAGCAAGTCTAGGCAGAGCATCAATCCCCAGACAGACTACTTCAGCCATTACGAATTCCAGAGTGGAAGCGGAAATATATCACAATGGATTTTGTGACAGGATTGCTTAGGGCACGCTCGAGATATGATGTCATTTGGATAATTATTGACTGGCTCACTAAGTCTTCCCACTTATTGGCCATCAAGATGACCAACCCCTTGGACAAAGTAGTAATAATGTATATCCGGAAGATAGTAAGGTCATATGGGG